TTGTGCAGTCCTTTGAACTTTCGAATTGCTTGCAAATCTGTCCTCACTATAAACTACATTTTTTCAAACTGTGGTTAGGTGTTGTCAGGCATGGCTTCGAGAAGGCCGTACGCAAAGAGCAAGGGGCACTGGACGCCGCCGTAGAACAACAGACCACGAAGATCGCCGCCTAAGATTATTGGCCTTAAGGGACCGTTTCTCCACTACCAGGTCCATTGTAAATGAATAGTTTGCAGAACACGGAAGACCTATTGGCATGCGAAGTGTTTACCGACGAATGAGAAGTTTTGGCTTGTTTTCATACCGGCCACACTGGGTCCTCCCTTTAACTCGAGAACACCGACGTAATCGCCTTGAGTGGTGCAGACAACGGTCACTCTGGGATCAGGAATGGAACAGTATTGTCTTTAGTGACGAGTCTCGATTTTGTTTAGGCATGCACGATGGTCGTGCCAGGGTTAGAAGGCGACGTGGTGAAAGGAGGAATCCACAGTTTTTTGTTGAAAGACATGTTCATCACACTGTTGGAGTTATGGTTTGGGGTGCTATAGCTTATGGTTCCAGGTCACCTTTAATCTTCATCAGAGGTAACATGAACGCGCAGCGTTATATCCACGAAGTTCTAGAACCCCATCTTTTACCCTATGTTGGCACCCTGGCAGATCCAACTTTCCAACAAGATAATGCCCGACCACATGTTGCAAGATTCACAATAGACTTCTTTCAACATAATGATGTCACATTGTTACCATGGCCACCAAGATCTCCCGACTTATCCTCAATTGAGCACGTGTGGGATATGATGGGTAGGATATTGCTCAATTTGCAACGTCCTCCTCAGACTCTAGAAGCACTTCGAGAGGAGTTGGTGGTTGCCTGGAATGAGATACCACAGGAGGACATTCACCACCTGATCAGAAGCATGCCTAGGCGCGTTGGAGAATGCGTAGCACATCAGGGTGCATCCACACATTATTAAAGGTCAAAGGGCTTTAAAGCAGTTCAATCGTTTTGAAATTTTTATCATTTACTTATTATGCTTCATTAAGTACTTATACAAAATTTTATTAAAATAAAACCATTTAAACTGGGTGTTCGGATTTATATGTCACTTAGTATACAGGGTAGGGTGGCTTTAAACCAAAATATGTGTGTAAAAATAAAAAAAAAATTTTACCTTGTTTTATAAAGTATCCTCCCGACAAGTATTTCAGTGCGGACCTGTATTTGATCGTGAGGTCCCCTGTGAGGTCTTAAGTCACCTGATTCACGAGCCCGTTGTACTACATTGACAAAGGCACGAGGGGTTGGTTGCACTCGATTGGGAAACCGATCCGCATAAACATGTGCCATTTTTTATTTCGTTTGAGCCACGCAACAGACACTATTCACAGCGACTGACACTGACTGTATAACTGTACTGAATAAAATAATTGTAAAAACATCGTTCCAAATTCTTTCGCTTTTTTGTTTCCGATGCGATGAATCGATAAGGTGGATTATATCCGTTGTTGCCAAACACGAGCACATGATATTATTATTGAGACAGGGCGGTACTCAAACTTCCAAAGGGCTATAACTTTGTTACTTTAATTTTACCAGAAAAATGGTAAAGGAAAAAGACATTTCTTTTGATCAGATCTGCTCACTGTTAAAATAAACTTAAAACAACTTCGAAGTATGAGACGCCGGAGGAACTGTTTCAAGGATTTTTGACCAAGATAGGAACAGAGAACGATAAGAAGTATGGAACATCAAGTAATAAAGGAGGATTAAACTGCTATATATGCCAGAAGCCGGGACACATCGCCAGAAAGTGCTGGTTTCAACCTGGGCCCTCCCGAAATGTCACCCCTTCGCACCCACACCCATCGCCGCTGACGTGCTCCAACTGCAAGAAATCAGGCCATGGCAAGGAAGATTGTTGGTTCCTAAAGTCTGGTGCTGTCTCAACGATAAACAGGCAAGTCTATGATGACATATATTCTATTTCTCTTTTGGTAAATGATATTCATTGTACTGGGTATTTAGACACTGGCAGTCAGATTAACGTTGCATGTTCAAAACTTTTAGAAAAATTAAATATATCGTTTCAAGATTCAAATATATTTTTTAATGGGTTTGGAAGTCAATTATTAAAACCAATAGGCGAAGCTCTCTTACAGCTTACTTTCAAAACATTTAAAATTGATTCTTTGGTTTATTTTGTAAACATTGAAATGGGAAATATTGATATAATAATAGGCCAGCCTGTCATAAATGCTAATAATATTGAACTCACTGTATCAGGAAAACAAGTTACCTGGAAATCAACAAACCTTGAATCATCGCAACCGCCTCAAATAAAAAAACATGATATCACAGTTATCGAGACTATTATCATACCGCCTTATTCATCTAAAGCAGTTAAAGTTATAAACCAAAGCAACGGTAATCTAATCGTCCCGGTGAAATCCCAGAATAATGTTTCTCTGTTTACAACTCTTAGCAACAAACGAAATTTTGACGTTTATGTTACTAATACCGGTTCGAAGAACCTTAAGCTGAATAAGAACGATGTACTTAGTAGAGGTTTTCGATTTGATATCCAGTGCCTTGAACCAACATTGACTATGAACAATGTAAAGAGAGTAAATCGGATTGAAATTTCCGAAACTGATTTAAAACATATCAATTCTGATTACGCTACAAAATTAATTTTCCTACTAAACAAGTTCCCTGATTGTTTTGCGGTCAACTGTAATCAATTAGGGGTGACGGATATCATCGAATTTGATATTAGTTTAATGACACAAGAACCAGTTTTTTATAAACCATACAGATTTGCCGAGAAAGAAAAAGAAATAGTTAGGAGTAAAATAGCTGAATTGCTGGAAGCAAAAATAATCCGTGAATCTAATTCATGCTATTCAAGTCCAGCGATTCTGGTAAAAAAGAAAAATGGCGACTATCGAGTTGCCATAGATTATCGGAAACTTAATAAAACTACAGTCAACGATAGATATCCGTTACCCCACATTGAAGATCAGATTAATCGTTTAAAGGGATTTAAATATTTTTGCACACTTGACATGACTCAGGGCTATTACCAAGTTCCGGTGAAAGAAGATGCTATCCATAAAACTGCGTTCGTTACTCCTGATGGCCAATTCGAATTTTTGCGGATGCCTTTTGGAGTATGTAACGCCCCAGCTACATTTCAAAGATTGTTAAATGAGGTACACAAAAACTTGAGACACGATAAAGTAATTGTTTACCTTGATGACATTCTAATACCTATTCATACCATTGAACAAGGTTTAGAAATTCTGGAGACCGTATTATTATTATTCCGAAAAGCTAATTTAACTTTAAATCTGGAAAAATGTGTTTTCTTTGTCTCCGAAATAAATTAATTGGGATACGAAATAAGTGAGTTTGGTATTAGACCGAGTCAAAGGAAAATACATGCTGTTTGCAATTTTCCACAACCACAAAACATTCATCAACTGAGGCAATTTCTAGGTCTTTGCTCCTATTTTCGTAAATTTATTCAAAATCACGCGCTAATTGTGGAACCACTGAGTAAGTTATTGAGGAAAGATGCAAAATGGCAATGGAGTGAATGTCAAAACAAAGCATTCGATCAGATAAAGAACATTTTAGCTACGAGGCCACTATTAGCTATTTTTAATAGTAAATTAAAAACTGAATTGCACACAGATGCAAGTAATAAGGGACTAGCTGGCATGTTATTGCAACAACATAGTCATGGATTGAAGCCAGTCATGTATTTTAGCAGAAGTACTACTAGAGAGGAAAGTATCTACCACTCGTACTAGCTTGAAACTCTAGCAGTTATTGAATGTGTCAAACGATTTAAAATATTTTTAACGGGCATCCATTTTAAAGTAGTCACGGACTGTGTCGCAGTAAGAGCAACATTTAATAAAAAAGATTTGGTCTCACGTATAGCGCGATGGTGGCTAACAATTCAAGATTTTGATTTCGAGGTAGAGCACAGACCTGGAAGTAAAATGCTTCATGTTGATGCTCTCAGTTGAAATATTCCTACAGTGAATGTAGCACACATTGCAACTGAGGACTGGTTAAGTTTTGTACAAATTCAAGATGATGAAACACGGTTAATTAAAGACAAGTTAAAACAACCCAATCCGGATAGAGAATTAAAAAATACTTATGTCATCGAAAATGAACGTTTATATCGTAAAACGGCTGATGGTAAAAATAAACTTGTTATTCCAAAGTATGCTAAATTTCATCTATTGCGAAAATACCACGATGATATAGGTTACATAGGGTTACAGAAATGCGAAAATCTAATTAAAAGGCAATTTTGGTTTGAAGGTATGACAAGATCTATAAAAAAATATATTAACGCATGCCTAGATTGTGCATATAAACGTGGTGAGTATGGTAAAAAAGCAGGCTTTTTGTTTCCATTACAAAAGCCATCAGGACCAATGCACACATGGCACATAGATCATTTGGGACCATTTTGTTAAAGTTCCGGATTCTCCTACAATTTTATAATAGTCGATTCATTTTCAAAATATTTATTTGCTCGCCCGACGAAAACAACAAATGCCGATGAAGTAATTTACGCATTAAGAGACTTATTTAGCATGTTTGCGGTTCCTAAAAGATTAATATCTGATTGCGGCAAAGCTTTCAAATCAAAACGTTTCAGGGAATTCATAATGAGTCATAAAATTAAGCATGTTTTAAATACAGTATCGTCACCAAGGTCTAACGGACAAGTAGAGCGTTACAATCGTGCTCTTTTAGATGCATTGAATACAAGTATTCAAGATGAAATTGAGTGGTACCAAAAACTACCGCAAGTTGTGTTGGGCATAAACAACACAATAAACAGTAGTACGAGATTTACTCCTCATAAGCTTATGTTTGGCTTTGATCGTAACATTCTAGGAAACCTTGGTGAGGATACTGTATCTGACATCAATAGATCTGAAAACCATAAACAGGCTATTGATAATATGGAAAAACAAAGAAGTCGAATGAAAAAATACTTTGATGCCAAAAGAAAGCCGGCTCATAAATATAAAACACATGATCTTGTGCTATGGTCTGGGGCAACTAAAAGTGATAAAGATATAAGCAGATATGAAATTACGGCTTTAAAAGGTCTTAAAGGTTACAGAAAATATAAAGCAGTAGTTGCAGCTGAACAGTTAAGACCATACGTGAAAGGTATTAGTGATTCGGACGAAAGTGATTCAGAAGTTAACAGTACTGATGAATTAATAGACCTGTTAGAAGGTTGAAAAAAAATGCATACAATGAGTTAACGAAGTAGGTCTGTTAGAAGACATGAGATATAAAAACATTTTATAAAATAGGATGTATGTATAATTGATTAAGTAGGCCTGTTAGAAGATACTAGCTATAGTATAAATATGTGAAAGAATAAATGCAGGACTGTTAGAAGTCGATTGTAAAACATATACATATGTATGTACATAATAGATAATAATATGTATGTATGTAGGTAGCATAGAAAGAACTAAGTATAGAGTATTAAGAGTTTGTTATCAAGTAATTGCACACATTTTGTTGTCTTTTTTTAGGAATAACAAAAACAGGTAGACGCGATGACGCTTTCTGCAGGATGGCCGAGTGTTTGGAAACGATCGAACCAGCTGTATCAATATGTACGTGTGGTCTGGGTGAGTCACCACGGACCGGTCGGCAAGAACGACGGGAAAAAACACTCTGCCGAGCTGCAAAAAGTGATTCACATAGATATTGTATTTATTCGCAGTTTTACCATTCGATGTAGAAAGTGGTACTTGTTCGTTATTAAAAGAAGTTTGTTCAAAACGCATAGTTCGCTTAATTTACAAGAGGCTGTATTTTAACATAATTTAATTTCGTTTTATCAAGGAGTTAAGCAGCAAGATTTTCCCAAAATTCTTGCACTGGCCTTGGCAACTTGCTCCATGTTCGGTACAACGTACTTGTGCGAGCAGATGTTTTCTTTAATGAATTTGAACAAAACTGAAAACAGGTCTTTGTCTGATGTGTCCTTAGAGGCGATACTCAGAATTTACATTGCTCAAGCCACTGTACCAAATATTAGAAAACTTGTTGAAGCGATACGCTTTCAAAGACCACCTTAAGAATAAATGTGTTTACGTCGAAATTATGAACATTATTTTATCACCCGCGCGTTGACTCGATCAGACCAATTCAAATGTCAATACGAATATCACTCCACTCATTTTCCGTTGGGGCTGGGAGCCGGCGAAATTAAACCTTATCGCTGATTCGACTAAACTTAGTAATAATATGTAGTTTTTAAGTAAATGAACAAAAAGGGCTTGATATGCCGATGAAAGTACATACCTGTGATATCGACTTGAAGATACAACGTGACGGTAGGATTTTACCATAACTTATACGTATATCAACGGTCATGACGTTTCATATTATTCATTTTACATATACTTTCAAACATCTAGAATCCTGGTGTTAAACTGACAGACTCAAATGAGCTTTTAAATGCAAGCATGAAGCATACAAACAGGATGTATTATTTTTATCTATTTGCATTGCCTGCTTTCAGTCGGTACGACAGAAACTTCTGGTGGCAATCAGTTTGTCATACCATGTTTTTCCAAATGAGCCTGAAATTTCCATCAAACCCTGTAGGCTTCATTGGATTCAGTGAGGACGGTGAAATTTTCTTGTCACGCTGTATCTTTAAGTCAGTATGAGAGGTACTTCTGGCAGGATGCAGGATGTCTTACTGAGCTCTTCTTGTTCATTTACTTAAAAACTACATATTACTAAATTTAGTTAATAATAATAATAATAATAATAATAATAATACGCCTTTATTTTACCTGGCGGGTGCATCAGCTAATAGCTGCTTTTGGTACCAACCAGGGCTACATAAGTTTAACAAACATAAAAAAATCACAGATACAAAAAAAATAATGATCAAGACATATAGTACTGAAAAGTGACAAATACAACATAATAGTGTGTAAAATGTGAAGACAGATTTAAATCACATTCACTCACACACTCACTGAAACAGAAATAATGAAAAAAAAAAGACCACAACCAGACACTTAATGTAGAATCACAGCAGTTACAAGATGAAAGCTTAGCATAGAATTAGGTATTATCGAGAACAAATTGCTTTATTTTAACTTTAAAATTATTGTTACTCAAACTTTTCAGATCTGATGATAGACAATTATAAAGGGAAGGCGCTATGTATGAGAAGCACTTTGTGAATTGTGTTGATTTATGGGGGGGGCATATCGAGGGTATAACCTACAAAGCGTAAGTTCGCCGAGTGATGCTGACTTCTAAATGAGAGTTTGCTGCTCAGATATGCTGGATATTTGGTTAATAGGACTGTCTGTACTATGACCAACAAGTGTACAATCCATCTCTGACGCATCGTGAGCCAGTTGACATCCTTAATGTATCTAGTAATGTGTCCCCTTCTCGGAACACCTAATGAATACCTGATACAACTATTTTGCACTTTTTGTATCCTATAAGCTTCCGTCTGTGTCAGGCATGGACCATACACCGCATCAGCGTATTCGACTTTGCTGAGAATCAAAGAGTTACAAAGCTTGATCTTGGTTTGACTAGATAATACATGTTTATAACTGTAAATTGTCTTGAGCTTAGCATATGAATTTTGCACAACCCTGGAAAGGTGATCGTGAAACGTGAGATGTTCATCTACTATTACTCCTAAATTTTTCACGGATTTTATATGAGGCAAGTCTCCACCTTCCAGGTGTAATTTTATCAAGTTACTATCGAAATTACTTTGTATGGACTTAATAGTTATGACAGCAGATTTGTTTGAATTGATAAGTAACCCGTGATCGTTATACCACTTTGCAACACGATCTAGATCACAAGACATTCTCCTGTTTGCCTCCAGGAAATCGAAAGGACGGTAAGACAAATACAGTTGGGTATCGTCAGCGTAAGACTGAATAGAACAATATTTAATGTCACGACTTAGATCGAACGTATACAAAGTAAACAAAATTGGCCAAGTATGGAGCCCTGCGGTACCCCCTTCAAAATCGCACGCTTATCGGACATACAGCCGCCTACATTGACTAGCTGTGACCGCTCATGCAAGTAACTCCTAAACCACGTAACAGTACTATCAGAAAATCCAAGATAATGCAGCTTACCAAGAAGCAATTCATGATTGATAGAATCGAAAGCTTTGCTGAGATCAACTAGAATTGACGTTGTGACGCAAGATTTATCCATAGCTCTGATATAGTCATCACATATGTTTATCAAAGTGGTAACCGTACTGTGACCTTTCCGAAACCCCGACTGAACATTTGGAATCAAACTGTTTTTATTTATGTGTCCTAGTATTTGCTCATAGACAATTCTTTCCAGAATTTTAGATAGCAATGGCAGTATACTAATAGGCCTGAAATCACCAGGTGCTATCGGATCATCAATTTTTGCAAGAGGTCTAACCATAGCGGCTTTCCATAGGCTCGGCACGACACCTTTTTCTAGTGAAAAATTTATAATGTGTGTTAATGCATCGATACAGTATGGAATTAGGGGAATCAAAAGATCTAAGTTTAGGCCATCCAGACCCTTTGCACATGACTTAATTTTAGAAAAAATATCCAAAACCCTTTCTTTAGTAACAAGTTTAAAGCTAAACGGTTGAACTGCAGGGGAAAGATGATTTGTGTTATAGAATGTCCGTAAGTAGTTATTAACCTTATTGACGGGAATAGAGTCTATGAAATAATCATTAAGCATGTCAGGCTGTATTGAACACCGGTTATCATTTTTAGAACCATGAACGCCAAGGTTTTTGATAGCATTCCACCATTCTCGACTATTGTTGCTTTGTCTCAGTTTATATTCAATGTAAGCTTTCTTTTCCCTCCAGAAAGAGGCTGTGACAAGATTTCTAAGCTGTTTATAATATATCAATTTTGAAGCTATTATTTCACTGGGATACTTGTTCTTTACTGCTTTAATATATTGAGAATAAGCCTTATTTCGCAGTCGCATCATAAATTTGATATTAGTAGTAATCCAAGGATACCGTGCTTTGGTAATCTTTTTGGTTTTGAAAGGAGCACAAACGTTGAGTACATTTTCAACCAATTCATAAAAATATCGCAACTTGTCTTCAATGCTTTCTAAATGGACTACATCTAACCAATAGAGAGACGATGCAACTTCTTTTAATAAGGAGTGATCGATGTTTCTTATGTCTCTAGTAAGTACATATTTCGGACACCTAACATTTTTTTCACATTCAATGCAGAAATATACCAAACTGTGGTCAGAAATGGTGGGGAGACAGACGAGACCTGTTTTAGTAATGCTTAGTTCTCTGTTCACAAAAACAACATCTATAAGGCTGCCACTATTGTTAGTTACTCTTGTCTTTTCGTTCACAATTTGTTTGAAATTAAGATCCTGGATAAATGTTGATACGAATTTAAAATCTGGGCTATTAGTATTATGGAAATTGATATTCAAATCACCCATGCCAATAATATCCTCGGATGTAGGAAGAAGAGATGCTAGCATCTCTTCTAGCGATGTCAGCGAGTTGTAGTGAACATCAGGAGGCTTATATATAACTCCAACATTGATTGTTTTCTTATTAACCTTGATCTTGATCCAGAGTTGTTCAAAACCATCATTCTGAGACACTTGTAGAAAAGAGCACCTAAGTCCTAACCTAACGTACAAAGCAACTCTCCCCACCTCGCCTGTCTTGCCTATCAGATCTGAATAGCTGATAACCTGGAATATGAACACTTGAATCAATAATACTTGGCTTCAGCCACGTTTCAGTTAAGCCGATGACATCAAAATTTTGTGATAATATATATTCTTTGAGATCACAAAGTGAACTAGTTAATGATCTCACATTTAGGCATGCTATCATTAAATTATGCTCCTCGTTCTCGATAATGTCGAAATCAGATAAAACAGACATGTAAAGTAAATCACATTATAATAACTAATTTCCAAATAGAAAAAAGTAATAAAATCAGACACAGAAGAAAATAACAAAAGAGGATAGAAAAAATGTATTTGTTGTGTGGATTAAAAGATGTAAAAAAAATAATAAAAATAAAACCGGATAACCAAGACACAAGAGCAAAAAACTATATGGAGTAGTTGGTTTTACTTCGAATAAAGTCCTGAGTTTTTTGTAGGCATATACATTTGCTATCCCACACAGCATGATACATATCAAGGCTTTTATTCTGTTTATTAT